GCTGGAATTCTTATAATTTGGTGATCATTTTGAATATAAACATCATAGATTTTGCTTTAAACTTACAATTTTTAGATAAAAATTTTTCTCAAGGTAACTATGGTATCTTTTGTGCAAAATATATGACATTTATATTCAAAATATTCCTGGTCTTACAAGGAATCCAGCAATGTCAATTATATTATCCTAACTTTAATCTGAGGTATTATTTAATACTAAATGTTAAAAACTCTGGAAGGGAGGATTGGTGGGGGGTGGGGGGGAGGGTTGGGACTGGGACTGACCGCGCCGTTGGAAGAGGGGGGGAGGCAAGGTGGGGTACTTTGATTGACAGATGGTGTCATGAAGATTATTTTTTTTTTATTAACTGAAGATATTTGTTTTAGCTCATAAAATTCATACAAATTACCCGGTCAGAATATAATTTACATTGCTGGAATTCTTATAATTTGGTGATCATTTTGAATATAAACATCATATATTTTGCTTTAAACTTACAATTTTTAGATAAAAATTTTTCTCTAGGTAACTATGTTATCTTTTGTCCAAAATATATGACATTTATATTCAAAATATTCCTGGTCTTACAAGGAATCCAGCAATGTCAATTATATTTTCCTAACTTTAGTTTGAGGTTATCCCACACATCTCCTTGGGAAGGTTGGTGGGGGGTGGGGGAGGAGGGACCGACCGACCATCTGTTAGCCGGCTGTGTAGTGTGAGAGGGGGAGGGAGTCGAGTCCATTATTTGAATGGACATTAACTTGGCGACTGTATTTCTCTATTTCTCTTAAGTATTAATTGTGTGCATGTACCATCATAAAATTAAGATGTTATTTTTACTACAACATAGGTATGTGCCTTCAAAAAGTGGAGTTTGGGGGTCGGGCCGGTTTCTATTGGAATTAATCCCATATGTTCTGTTGTTCACTTAACGCGGATTTCACTTAACGCGGGACCCTCTGGGTTCAATTGACCGCGTTAAGTGGGGTACAACTGTATTCATTTTTTTACATTAAGTTCACTACAGCTACAACCAAGGGTCTTATTTTCTTCAGTTTCTTATGTAGAACCACCGTCACTCACGAAAACAATGCCATCTTGTCTCCTCTTGTGTTTTAATATTTTACGTATTATTCATGAATTGCATTGTTAATTTCACATATATAAACATAAATTCAATCAAACACAAATTCAGTTAATAAAGGATAATGAATCTTTTGTACATATTCTTAAGATAAATAACTATGTTTCCTTGAGTGAGCACGTATACATTGGCGTTCCACTATCAGTCTCACTTTTTTCTTTAATATCATTTGTTATTTCTTCTGTACATTAAATAACATTAATTAAAACAAATATTTTTTACATTAATATTACTACAACAACAACCAGGGTCTTATTTTCTTCAGTTTCAGGTGGATAACTGAATTATGGGTGTAAACACTGACAACAATGCCTTCTCTTATCCTCTTGTGTGTTATAATATTTTACGTATTATTAATGAATTTTATTGTTCATTTCACATATATAAAGATTAATTCAATCAAATACATATTCAGTAATAAACAATAATGAATCTTTTGTACATATTCATAATAAGATAAATGATACTGTTTCCTTAAATGCACATGTATATTTTGGCATTCCCAATCCATCTCACTTTTTTCTTTGCCATTAGTGGTTAGCTACCTCTATTGTTCAATTTATTAACATTAAATAACATTACTTAAAACATATATATTCATTTTTTTTTACATTAATCTTACTACAGTTACAACCAGGGTCTTATTTTCTTCAGTACAGTGGGGTATGCTATAACGAATCTAATTGGTTTTAGAACCTTATTCGTTCGTTATAGGATTAATCCGTTCCAGGCCCCCAAATACAACCACTTAACACTGAAAAATATAATATAAAATTGTAAAAATTGTAAAAAAGTGCATACATATGCATCTAAACCCCTGAAATAAAGAATATCATTAATACTTGTAATGAAAAAACAATAAATTAGTAAAAAAAAAAAATATTTTTTTTTTTTTTAAATAATGTTCGTTGTAGGAGTTTCGTTCGTTATAGCATTGTCAATTTTATAGGTAAAACCGTTCGTTATAGGAATATTCGTAGTAGGATCCGTTCGTTATAGCACACCCCACTGTATCTTATGTAAAACCATCATCCCGGACTCCCGGCTGTAAACACTAACGAAAACAATGGCATCCCATCTCCTCTTGTGTGACCATATTATTATTTTTTTGTATTGTATAGGGTGCATTCAGAAACATTATTTAAAGAATATAGTTTGCATTTTCATTGAATTTATTGTTTGGGGGGAAAAGAGGGTAAAAAGCCACACACAAGATATGAAAAGGTCACACTTGGGAATGCATCTCATTATTATTGTTTTTTTAATGGTAATTAGTGATTCACGATACGATGATTCACCTTAAACTGCAATATTGGAGGACACATTCCCATTGTTATTCAAGACTTTACTGCACTGTACATTTATCTCAAAGTATTATGCAACATTTAGTATCATCTGGAGTAGTAGTACACATATATATATATATATATATATATATATATATATATATATATATATATATATATATATATATATATATATATATATATATATATATATATATATATATATATATATATATATATATATATATATATATATATATATATATATATATATATATATATATATATATATATATATATACAATATATATAAATAAATATATATATATATATATATATATATATATATATATATATATATATATATATATATATATACAGTGGGGTATGCTATAACGAATCTAATTGGTTCTAGAACCTTGTTCGTTATAGCATTCGTTCGTTATAGGATTAATCTGTTCCAGGCCCCCAAATACAACCACATAACACTGAAAAATATAATATAAAATTGAAAAAATTGTAAAAAAGTGCATAAATATGCATCTAAACCCCTGAAATAAAGAATATCATTAATACTTGTAATAAAAAAAAACCAATTAATTAGTAAAAAAAAAATTCGTTGGAGTTTCGTTCGTTATAGCATTCTCAATTTTATAGGTAAAACCGTTCATTATAGGAATATTCGTAGTAGAATCCATTCGTTATAGCATACCCCACTGTGTGTATATATATATATATATATATATATATATATATATATATATATATATATATATATATATATATATATATATATATATATATATATATATATATATGTGTATATATATATATATATATATATATATGTGTATATATATTTTTATATATATATATATATATATATGTATATATATATATATATGTATATATATGTATATATATGCTGATAACCACAAGGAAAGAAGAAAACACGAAGTTCCCAAGCGCTTTCGTGTAATTCACATCTTCAGGGGTGAGTACAGACTAAAGAGTAGTACAAAACAAGGTGTATATATACAGAGGAGGGTGAGACCAGGTCCACAATGGTCAGGAATTAGGTAATGACCCTACTAATCTTTAAATAGCACGGCAACGGTCGGTAGTCAGGTCAGAGGGTAAGGTGACCCAACCTTCTCACCTGGTTACAAATCTTCTTAATTACAAAATTGTCCAGTTTGTACATGCCATTACTCAAATTCATGTTGAATGCTTTGGTATGTTTAATGAGACTAGATTCTATGATGTTCCTACTATCAATTGAATTACAAGGTAATATTGAGGAGGCATTATCCCAGTCAATGCAATGCTTGTTATCCCTCAAATGAACAAACAGAGCATTGGATTCCTGGCCTGTCCTAACACTATATTTATGTTGTTTAAGTCTAGTTACAAGATCTTTACCTGTCTGACCTTGTAGAACTTAAGTGTTTTTCTTCTTCCCTTGTGGTTATATATATATATATATATATATATATATATATATATATATATATATATATATATATATATATAAATATATATATATATATATATATATATATATATATATATATATATATATATATATATATATATATATATATAGCCCCCCCCCAAAAAAATTCGCGGATTTTTATTTCACCGTCCTCTATTATTCGTGTATGACACTCTGGATGTACCCAAGAATGTCTGTGGGTAGTTCTAAAGTTGCCAGCATTTATGCAGCTGGGACGGAGCCATTCGTTCTGGAGACAGTAATTTCCTTTACCTGTATTGTAAATATGTGTGTACACGCATGCACACGCACATACACACACACATGCATATTTACAATACAGGTAAAATGGCATTGTCCCTAAAGAACAACACATAAGGAGATTATACATTTCTTTGTGCTGAAATTTTCCTCCCCGGTCTGCAAAGGTCATTCATGGATTTTGCAATTCGCGGTCATTCTGAGAACCTAACCCCCAATAATTTGGGGGGGGGCCTGTATAATTACAGTATATACGTAATTTACAGTGGCATTGAAAAACAAATATGATAAGGGAGGGAAGTAGTTCAACATGGGTTATATTAAGATGGAACAAGAGGACAGAGCTGTCAGGATTATGCCTAGTTGTCAAATATATTTATTGCAATGTTAATTTCTATCTCTACATGATAATTTGGGATACGACGGTTTTGGTGGTACAATAAGAGCAAGTATATAAAGTAGGTATTACAAAAAACATTAATACTTAGACAATATATATTTTTTAAGAGATGATTTAAAGGAAGGGAGCGTAGTCTTTGCCCGGATGGGTGGGGGTAAGTTGTTCCACACCTTCACACCGTGATATTTTATGGAGGTCTAGGACTGAGAGGAGCGCATGGGGAATGGTCTTAGTATTTCTTGGTGCCTTAAATTGTATCTCTGATTATTCCGGAACTAGAAGTAATTGTTGTCAAGCAAGTGATTGACGAATTTGTAAACAAATAGGGCACAGCAGTAGGTGTTAATACTCTCTCTCTCTCCGTAGATTTATAGAACTTTGTAGTAATGTGAGTGTGTATTTATATTACAGGTAGTGAAGGCAGCTCCCTCGCTCCTGCTGAGTCTTCACAAGAATCCCTCATCTTAGAGCCCCAACAAATGCCCAATATGGAGAGTTTGAGTGATGACAGCTTATAATAGTGGTGTTCATAGGCATCAAAATTTCTGATACCAGAGAACGTTTTATAAGATATGTTGAACAGTTTTGTTATGTAAGTAATAGCACCCGAAGGGAAATGAAAGTTGCAACATTTTGAGATGTACATGACTGGTTAAACAATATAAATTTCACATAAGGGAATCAAATAAAAATTACATACGTGTATATATGACAAGGAATAAGTGATAACTCCTGAACCCCCTCCAACCCAGTGATAAAGATCTGCATATCAGTGTATTGTGCATAGCTGATGCCTTGTAAGGAAAACATGATTTGGCTGACCCAAATCTGCTCAGTTATTGGAAGAGGATGAAGGCCATCCTTAACCTTGGGGTGGAGTATACAGGAAGTAAGAAAACATTTCAATGCTAAATCAAGACTCATATTGAACCATAGATAAGTAAAGATAACCATTGTACCGTATGTTGAAATTGGGAGGGAATTAATGTATGAGATGGTGACTGAATTAATAAGACATGTTAAGGATGATTGATAATTGGTCTTGACACGATTTCAGTCCCAGAATATACGGTACACACAAAATATGGTGTGTCAGGTTTTATAGTCTGGCCTTCATTTATCTTTAATTTCTTGGCTTCATAGGTGTTCCGACTATATATGTAGTTACAACTTGACAGTGAAATATAAACTTTCTTGCTAAGATTTTTCAAAAAACTTGTTCACTGTAACTGTATGTTATTCTTCCTCTTCAAATTTCATTTAAAGACCAAATAATACATATGTGCATAATAAAAAATGGTCTATAACTTGTACCTAGTGAGACAAAGAATGTGTTGTGTTTACTAATTTCAAAATTGGTTCATTTATAACTCAGTAATGCATGGGAACTAGTAAGATCTTGCATTTATCCTCTGGAACAGTTTGATGGGGACCACAGGTTAATATGCTCTGTAGTAGTTCCATGGTTGGGATTGGGTACCAGCTGCTGGAAGATTGGGAGCAGCATAATACTTCATCATAATCTGTTCAGATGTGGTCACTTGCCATCGTGTGCCAAGACAATTCCGTACCGAGAGTTACCAGCTTGCTCGAGAGAAAATTTGTAGATGATGTTGTGTAAATTTTTTATTTATATACAGTAAATATATAAATATATATATTTTAATTAGTTATTTGTTAATACCAGATTCTAGTCTTAGGCTACTGTTATGAAAAAAAAGAAACTCGCAACAGTTTTCCCATAAAAGAATACTAATTGATGCATGCAGAACATTTTGATATTGTCCTTATGCTTTGTTTCCATGCTTGCCAAGTAAGTGGCTTCCCATGTTAAGAATGTTGACAGTTAAAGCAAGCATGTAATATAAATAAGTAATTAAATAAATAAATAAAGCATCAAACCAATACCAATGTATGATCTGAGTGCTTGGGTTATGTGCTGTAAGAGAAGTAGTGTACACCCTAGTGAATGTACACCCTCAGTTGTGTGTACACCCTCATTTGCGTCAACACCCTTGGTGTGTGTACAGTACACCCTCGGTGTGTGTCCCCTACAACCTCAGTGTGTGTCCTGTACACCCACAGTGTGTGTCCTGTACACCCTCAGTGTGTGTACTGTTCACCCTCAGTAGTGTACTGTGCACCCTCATTTGTGTGAACACCCTCAGTTGTGTGTACACCCACAGTTGTATGTACACCCTCAAAGCTAAGGTACCTATTCAGAGACCATCTTAACAGTACAGTTCCTTTGCACTGAGAATGGGTCAAGCAGAACCAATATAGTTGCAAAAGTTAAATACAATAGTTGTCAAAATTGGGATTTGTTAGTTATATCCCCAGGAGTTTCATGTGAATGATAGATTCTTTGAGGTAGATACTACATGTCTTACCTGGCCATGTTGCATATTTACCTAATCATGAATTAAACACTGATTTCTGGTCAAGTCGTATCTATTGAGAGGATCCTTATCTCTAGTGCAAGGCTCATGTACATACATTGGAGAGAACGTGCAGCTTCCAGTGTGTCAGTGTTAATGTGTGCTGCTAATGCTGTACATATACATAGTATATTTGTATATTTGACACTTTGAATGCAGTGCATGTTTGAAGACTAATTACTGTAGTATTGTAAAATGTTGGGGAATATGCTGTAAGTCACTGTTTGAAACTTTCTGTAGAAAAAAACATTTATTTTGACCTTCAAAATTTTAAGAAAATTTTATCTTGTGTTCATTTTTCAGTACTGCAAACTATTGTATACAATACTGCAAGAATTATTGTGACATAATGAGTACAGTATCCTGTATTAGGAGTAAAGTTGTGTATTTATGTATAATATAAAAAATAAACATTTATTATACCTAGGAAGTAAATAGAACATTCAGTCTTAATAGTCACAATACAAAATTTTAAATATACAGTAAAACTTAAACTACTTACAAGTGGGGTTACCCAAAAACCTGAGTGTTTAGTGTACATTGGTTGTTTTTTCCAACAATCATAACAGGCTGTCCTGTGCAGAACCTTCCCCAAGCATTTTGACCACTGACCATTTCTGCACCTTCAAGTATATTAATGGCAATGATTATAGTTGTAGCTAGAATACAGTGCCAGGCACCAGAGGTTACCACTCTTGAGCAATGGCTGCATTCACTAATCTTTTTGGCTGTGCCAAAGGCCTCTATATATATATATATATATATATATATATATATATATATATATATATATATATATATATATATATATATATATATATATATATATATATATATATATATATATATATATATATATATATATATATATATATATATATATATATATATATATATATATATATATATACAGTATATATATATTAGTTAGTATATTGTGTTGAAGGGCATTAAGAGTCTTGCATGTGCATTTATCATTAGTTAAGTGTTACATGATATTTAGGAATGAACATGGCATAGTTCTTTCTAAGAAATACAGTATCTAAAATTTGTGCAATACTTAATCTTAAAGTGTATACTGTACTGGTCCAACCATTGGTGTCAAATAAGTTTCTTCATATAAAATATACTTATAAAAATTCGGAGCTTTATCATGGTACACGCCATAATCCTTGTAGGAGTATGAAACAAATATAGTACAGTATACTGTACCACACTTCATGCAGAGTTCAGCATGTACAGTAGTAGTTACTTCATTTTTACAGACAACTTGTGAATCTTGAAGTTTGATCTTTTGATATGCTTAAAGGGAAATGGTATATTTAAATACTTTATAAAGAATATTTTAAAGAAAAGGCCACCACAAACTTCTTGGTACAGTATATCTGAAAGATATCAAGGTAACTGGAAAAAATTACATGGACTTAGTATCACTACAGTTCATTTGAGTTGTATTGTTTCTTCATACATAAATACAGATCGTCAGTCTCAAGCTTTTATACGGTGAGCTTCTTCACTTGTACTGTTTGAGCTTTTCTAGTGAAGTAACAACATCCTGGTGGTAGTAGTTTACTAGCAAGTGAAATTTATACCATAAACTGGTGTGGATATATTTGAGGCATGTACGACCAGAGTGGACAAAGCGCCACTAAAGTCAAAATAGAGATTTATTCATAAATGGATAGGGAAGCCACCTTTGGAAATGTCAATGAGGTCAATTTTGCTATTAAGTAAAACTACTCGTGCATCACTACATGTGGGGGTGGCAGGCAGCAGGTCTCACTGAGAGGAAAGTGCCAGAGATCCATTTTTTTTCCTGGCACTTTGTGTACTCTGGTTGTATGTGCCCCATTTAATATACTCTGAATTTCCACGAAAAAGAAAATCTTAACCAAATTCCAATTACACATACACTAGTTAATCTACATTATCAATAGCTCCTATACAAGTGCTGTAAATTTCTGTTACATGTTCATTTTTATACAAAGATTATTTACACTTAGTTAAAGCTCAAGTTTCTTTAATTGAATTTAGTGTTGGTTATTGTGTTAGGATATACATAATCTTATTGTTATTTTCCAGTGCTTGACAAATACTGCAGCTGTGATCTATTTCTAGTTCTTAGATGGAAGCTTGTGACGATTGTTGCCGTGGAGTAAATAAGAATGTCTCAAACATTTTTCCTATATTCTTCACAGAGTATTAGGTATGAGGAACTTAAGACCTAGTTAATATATGTCATGTGAATTGTTGCTCATCGCAAGTCTTTAATTGTTGCTAATTTAGTTTGTTCATGATGGATGTACGTATAGGCAAAACAAAATGAGTACTGTAAGCTTTTCTCAAAAACTGGTAGGGGTGTAGTTTTACAAGATGAAGGGCTTTTCTACTTAAATGATACATATCAAGGGGTTTTTTTTATGTTAACACATTGATACATTACATTTCTGCATAGTGTTTATCAATGAATATTTAATGGCTTTACCTTAAAACGATCGTAACCAATTTATTTTTTTCTCTATAAATACTGTATATCTGCAGGATTTTCAAGTTTAATTATGATTCTCAAAGTTAACTCAGAAAAATGATTTTTAGAGACGAGATAAAGATTGAGCAATACCTACAAGTAAATTGGCCTAGTGGAGTAGTTATTTATTTTAAACTACTGTACAGTCAGGGTTAAAAGTTAGTGTGAAGCAGTGTAATTTATTTACCGGAATGGGTCTCTGCGCTTACTTACCCTGACTGGTGCGAGTGTGCTGTTTTGTCTCATTTACGGTCGATACTGTTTCACAAGGAATTTAGACTTTTACTGTACATTTTTACCATTTCTCATATTTACAGTAGGTTAGCACTTTATTTGACAATCAAAAAGTGGCACCACTGCTACTTGCTGGCTCACATTAATATGTATGAAAATATATCCCATAAGTACTGTACAGTGGAACTTGGTTAATGTCAGTCTCCCTAGTGTGAAAATGTGATATTAAGTAAAGTGGAAAATGTGATATTAAGTAAAGTGGAAAATTAAATAATCTTGAACATTCCCTGCCTATGTGTACTGTACTTATAAGAAAAGATTCCTTCATTAAGCAGTAATTCAGTATTTATATTACAGAGAAATTAACATACAGTACAGGTTGTACCTCTTTAGTCCGGCATTCTGTGGTCCGGAACGATTTTAGTTTGTCCAATACAGGTTGCACCTCTCTAGTCCGGCATTCTGTGGTCCGGAAACTCCCGTGGTCCGGAACGATTTTGGTTTGTCCAATAGGTAGATAGGCAGCTTTTTTTTTTTTTTTTTTTTTTTTTTTTTTTTTTTTTTTTTTTTTTACTTATCTGAATTATTATTATTATTACAGGAGTATTAAATTTTTGCCCCCCAGGCCCTAATGTGGGTCAGTGACCTATTCCCGGGTGGGCTAATCCCCTTAAAAAAAAAGCTGCGGGAAATTAAGGTTTGTTTACATCCGGCAGTTCGGCTGCTCTCTCTCTCTCTTTTTGCTTGTCTATACAGAGTACAACATTTAACCCTTCAATATATATGAGCAGTAAATAAGTGTTGCTTTCATATTCTTATGTAGAGTAATGACGATATATTTTCACATGTGCGCACTTACATACGAGCAGTCTCACTTTTTTTTTACCATTAATGGTTAGCTACTTATATTGTTCCATTTATTAACATTAAATAACATTACAGGTACTTCAAGCAACCATATTCATTGTTTTACATTAATTTTACTACAGCTAAACTCAGGGTCTTATTTTCTTCAGTTTTATATGTAGAACCAATCAGCCACTGGTTTCGTAAGCTTTAACATAAACAATGCCGGCAGCCGTCTCGTCTCCTCTAATATTCCACGTATTATTAATAAATTGTATTGTTAATTTTGCACACACGTACATTAATTCAATAAAAACAAATTCTGAAACATTAATTAAAATATATATGAACAGTAAATAAGTGTTGCTTTCATAGTCTTATGTAAAGTAATGACGATATGTTTTCACGTGTGCGCATGCGCATTTACATATGCGATCTCTCTTTTTTCTTTACCATTATCGTTAGCTACTTTTATTGTTCCATTTATTAACATTAAATAACATTACTTAAAACAACCATATTAATTTTACTACAGCTACAACCAAGGTCTTATTTTCTTCAGTTTTATATGTAGAACCAGTCAGTCACTGGTTTTGTAATCAACGAAAACAATGCTTTGTCATTTCCTCGTGTGTTTTAATATTCTACGTATTATTAATGAATTGTATTGCCCATTTTGCACACATAAACATTAATTCAATAAAAAAGACATTCAGTAATAAACAATAATGAATCTTTTGTACATAAGAGAAATGACGCTGTTTACACTATTATGAACGTCGTCTGCACATTGGCGGGCCGTTCAAACCCGTCGAAATTCAAGTTTCCGCCGTCAAAATTTTTATTTATTTATTTTTTTGTGTTCCAATAAAATACGTTAAGAATTAAAAACTCGCGAAATTTAAGAAGCTACTATACGACATTTAACCCTTCAATATGTCTTCAAAGAGACCATAACGCAGAGAAAGTGGTGCTAGTGCTTCCAGGCATAAGCACAAGTCACTATCTATCCAGGAAAAGGGTGAATTTCCATGGTCCGGCACCGGTCAGGTCCCGAGGTTGCCGGACTAGAGAGGTACAACCTGTAGGTAGATAGGCAGTTTTTTTTTTTTTACTTATGTGAATTATTATTATTATTACAGGAGTTTTAAATTTTTGCCCCTCAGGTCCCAATGTGGGTCAGTGACCTATGCCTGGGTGGGCTAATCCCCTTAAAAAAAAAAACAAAGCCGCGGGAAATTAAGGTTTGTTTACATCCGGCAGTTCGGCTGCTCTCTCTCTCTCTCTCTCTCTCTCTGCTTATCTATACAGAGTACAACATTTAACCCTTCAATATATGTGAGCAGTAAATAAGTGTTGCTTTCATATTCTTATGTAGAGTAATGAAGATATGTTTTCACATGTGCGCACTTACATACGCGCATTCTCACTTTTTTTTTTACCATTAATGGTTAGCTACTTCTATTGTTCCATTTATTAACATTAAATAACCTTACTTAAAACAACCATATTAATTTTACTACAGCTACAACCAAGGTCTTATTTTCTTCAGTTTTATATGTAGAACCAGTCAGTCACTGGTTTTGTAATCAACGAAAACAATGCTGTGTCATTTCCTCGTGTGTTTTAATATTCTATGTATTATTAATGAATTGTATTGCTCATTTTGCACACAAACATTAATTCAATAAAAAAGACATTCAGTAATAAACAATAATGAATCTTTTGTACATAAGAGAAATGACGCTGTTTACACGATTATGCACGTCGTCTGCACATTGGCGGGCCGTTCAAACCTGTCAAAATTCAAGTTTCCGCCGTCAAAATTTTTATTTATTTATTTTTTTGTGTTCTAATAAAATACGTTAAGAATTAAAAACTCGCGAAATTTGAGAAGCTACTATACGACATTTTACCCTTCAATATGTCTTCAAAGAGACCATGATGCAGAGAAAGTGGTGCTAGTGCTTCCAAGCATAAGCACAAGTCACTATCTATCCAGGAAAAGAGTGAATTTCCATGGTCCAGCACCGGTCAGGTCCCGAGGTTGCCGGACTAGAGAGGTACAACCTGTACTGTACAATTTAAACCTTTGAATATAAAGATGGCAGTTACTCTCTAAGATTGACTGGTCTCCAGCATTTTTAGATTTTTTTAAACACGATCATTTACTGGATGTTGTGCTTTATAAACCTTTTCAAGAGCTCCATTGTTTTTTCTGGAAACAAAATTATCTCAAGAGTGAGAAGCTTAGCAAAATTGTGCTTTTTGACAATTTGGCACTGTTACATTTCCTCTGATGACCAAGGGAAACTGTCTGGCAACACACTACTCAGCAACCATGCCTGAAACACAAAGCAACCTCATACAACTGGATATCTCAGTTGGAAATTGCACTGTGTCTGACATTAAGCGTGTCGTTAATACATACCATTGAGAGAGTATGATCATAAAAGTTGTGGCATAGGTGGTGAATGATTTTCAGGTATTGGTGTTGAGTTGTAACACTAAGCAATATACTATTAAGCAAATTCC